GCACGCGGCTCTGAATGTACAGATAGGCTGGGCTGTGACTCAGAGTCCAGCAGTTGCCTAGTGTGTGTAGGGCTCAGGATTTGATCCCTAGAACAAAACAAAAAGTAAACAGCTTGCCTCAAGATCTAAGCACTGAGTTTTGTTTCCCATCCAAGAATACTTCCCAGAGCACTGTCCTGGAAGTAGGGGTAAAAAACCCCCTCTGGGGCCCTGAGAAAGCTGAGTCCTCCTGGGAAGGAGACCTCTCTAAGGCTGACCTAGCACTCTGGAGACGGTAGGGACAAAGATGTTGGGGGCAGACGGGTGGGAGGAGAGCCTGCTCACATGGCCTCTCTGGAGCGCCCGACCACAGGGTGTGTGCATGCTGGCTGGACGCGGATGGCAGAGACCACGGGCCACTGCTTCCCTCCCTCTCAAGACTCTACCAGCCACACACCCCAGCCCTGTGTGGTCTCGAGTGACAGTGTGGTACAAACAGAGCCATGATGAAGGATTCTCATTGCCCCCCACCATACCACCCATCATCCTTCCATAACAGTACCAAATGTCTGTGGAGACCAGGCTGAGAGCATGCCTGAATTGTCCTTCAGTTACCTGTGAGGAAGAGGTCCAAAGACAGGATTCTCAAGGAAGCACCCGTGGGCATTCCTTACCTGGAGCATTGTGCCAAGGGCTGGGCAGGCATGCCTGGGGTGGGTGTGCCTGGGGTGGGTGTGAGTGGTGGTATAATGTATTTATACTGTAATAATACTTTTGACAGTAGTCACATTGATAGTGTAGGTCTGCTGAATTTCATCTTTAGCTGTCCACTATATCCCTGCTAGTCACATAGGGAAGGTGACAGGGTAACACTGAGACACACAAAGTACCAGGAACTGCCGAATTCAGCCTCTTAGGCATTTCATCTCTGTGACTGAGGCTCAGAGGAGACACCTGTCCTGGGTCCCAACAGCCTGGACCTCTGGCAGTAGACTGAGGGTTGGTTCCCTCACATGTGGGTGGCCTGTCTGTAGGACAAGCTTCCCTTGGGCAGTTGAAGGCTCTCTTGTCTGATTTACCTTCCTGGGAGTGGGAAACCAATTAATTGTGACAAACTGCTACCAAGAAGACACTCCACAGAAGCCGTATATACATATTTGCATTTATTAGAAAGAGGTCTCTACACTATAGCCACCTCTCTCCGTTACTTTACACACTTTTCCTTTTTCTTTTCCCCTTAGAATACTGTACACCTGACACAAAATCCCAAGGCAGGAAAATACAAACCAGCATATTTAACCCGAACAAGGTCGCATGAACGAACAAGCAGAGAGAAATGTCCGTGGATGGTTTAGTTACAGGACAAACAGCATAAATAAAGCATCAGTCATTGGGAACATGAAGTTATGGAATGAGGTAATATGGAAATGCCCCGGACGGACCACCCACCTCTGGAGAAGCCCCCCCCCCCCGTGCTTCTGCCTTCTGTGTCGAGGCAGGTGACATGGCCTTCTTCGCCCCCACCCAGAGAGGTGCCAGCTGCACCCTACCTCGCCCTGGGTGCAAAGACGAGGACTCAGTGTGGGACTGGGGACAAGGATGGGAAGAGGGCAGGAGAGGATGCTCTGTCCTCTGCGGGTCCAGGCTCAGGCCACGGTAAGGGGCCGCCACCTCCTGTGCCTTCCTGGGGCTCAACACCCTTTCAGTTCTCAGGACTCGGGGCTGGAGGACCGGTTCTCATCTTGAGAGCTGACTATTTTAGAAGAAAGCTACTGCCCCCCCTAAAAAGTAAAAACAGAAACCCCCACAATGTGGAGAGGATAAGGGGCAGTTTTTACATAGAAGGGTATTTTTTTTTTAACAGGAAGAGGCGCTGGTGTCTTTTCTTTCTGGTCACTGAGATGGTCTGAAGGTGTACCTTTGGCCTGTCCATCACACAATAGCCCTGGGTACCCTCAGTACCACCCCGGTAGGAAAACTGCAGGAGCTGGCATGCAAGAGCAGGAGCCGGAAGCCACTTGTGGACTGCACAACCCTTGGTCCCTTTTCTGCCCATCCTGATGAGCCAGGCTGGTCAGGCAGCTTTCAAGTCCCTCAGCTGTGGATAGAGGGCTCCTGACAACTCTGTTTTGGTCTACATAGGTCTCTCTACTCAAAGCACTCAGTGAACCCACACGGCCTGCCTAGTAGTTTGCTAAGTTTGTCTTTTTGCAAGCATCTTTTTTGCAAGCATTGCCCTCTCTAACATCCGCACTGATATTTGGGCTACTGTGGCTACAGTCCTGAGCCTGGACATTGGGGTACAATGTGATCGTAGGGTGGTCGTTCCTAGCAGCAGTGTGCCAAGGGGCTCTCCTCTGGGCCTAATCCCACCCTCCCACCCATTCACACCTCTTGGTTCCTTCATTTCACCCGAAACAAGACAAAGACTATGTAATTCCCTGCACACAGAATTCCAGATCAATCCTCCCTTATGGCAGGAGAGTCCATCATATGGCTTGATTCATGACCCCCCAGGGGTCCCCTGCAGATGCCACGTGCCCAGCAAAATAGAGACAAGTCCTGAGCTGACCCCTCTCTCACTCACCAAGGCCACTTACTCGGACCCTAGAGCGGCTGCCAGTGCTCGGTACCCACACTCACCTGAGGCTCACTACGGGAGAGGTCTCAGTTAAGAATGCTTTGACCAGTCTGGAGCAGACCCCGAACTAAATACTGCTCTTCTATAGGAAAATTGGCCTCTTGAAGATAGGGACAGGAGGCCAGCTTTTCCATGGACCCTCACTGTGCACTGCCTCGGGCAGGGAGTCCCCTAGCTAATGGCACGTAAACACACCTGACCTGGGTCCGCTAAAACTGAAGGATACAAAGCTCTGCTGGCTGTCTAGAATCATCTACAGCGAAAGAAAGATTTTCTCTCTTCAGCTCTGACCCAGGGTGCAGAGCAATGTTCAAAGAGCAGAAACTAAACAGCAATCTTAGCTTCCGAAAAAGCCCGGTCAGTCAGGCCAGGACTCCTGAGTAGGGAGAGACTGTGTCCTGAAACACTAAGGCCCCGGATGGTCATCGGTCTCTTCCCCCATGAGGAAAGAGCTCAGCCCTGACTTGGGACTAAGCCCAGGCTGCAGCTGCTGCTGGCTTCCAGGGTGGGAATAACAGCCTGAGAATTGGTGCATGCGTGGCACCAGCAGAGTAGCGGGCCTCTCCCCTTCTCCCCTCCCAAGAAGAAATATTATATTTTGGCTAAAAACCCATCTACATCAGCTGTTTTAAAGAGAAGGCCTCCAAACAGGCCAGACACAAATAGCTGGGTCACGTGCTTCTCCTGGTCCCACAGTGCGCTAGGCAGGCCTGGCAGTGGCAGGGCCACTTAGAATCGAGACAGTGGAAGAGAAGAAGCTTGCACACGGGACACCAATGGCTCTGGCAGCTTTCACGTGAGTGACAACAGCAAAATCACCTCCAGCTGTGCCCTCACAACAGAAGCAGTGGGGGATAAATTCTGGCTTTTTTTTTTTAAGGAAAGATGTTCATCGGTGTCACATTTCTTCAAATTCCTTCCTGACCGCTTTTCAATTAGTTTGCTTCAAAGTCATAAATACAACCCTGGCAGAGTTCTAGCAAAGCCTCGGGGACCTTGTAGGGGGTGAATGATGGAGACAGAAGAGCTGAGGAGAGCCCACCAGAAGGCATGGGCTTGCTTCTCAAAAACCTCAGCCTTCTTTCTGGTAGCTTGGGAGGTCCTGATCACACTCCTAGCTGCACTGCTGTGTCCCCAGGAGGGATGGGGACTGCCCACCTGGGCCATAAAACAGCCCGAATTCGGGGAAGAATGGTGGCCGCCTTGGCAACTAAGAGCACAACTTAGGCTTGCGGCCAGCAGGCGCTTAGTCCATGCTCAGACACAAACCCCCACAGACACAGAAGGGTGCCCGCTGCAGAGCGCTCTGACCAGGTTCTTCTGGGGTAACTGGGGCAGTGGAACCCAACTGAGGTACTGTGATCCTCAAAGCTAATGGGAACAGGGCACCGACAGCCTGCATGTGCATGTCCCAGCAGCCACACGGGAGCTGCAGGGAGAAGGAGAGTTACTGAGCCAAGAGCAGAGGTACAAGGTTGGAGGAGAAGAGGCTCATCTTAGGCTTGAGTGACATTTGGGCATGGTAGGAGAGCAGTGCTTAGCTCTTCTCTGTAAAGCAAGACGAGAAATGTGGAGGGGCTTTCCCAGCAGCGGGGAGAGTAAGTTGTGCTTTCCACCCAACACGGACACTGTTCACAGGCCCGAGTTCCAGTTCCGAGCGGGTAGCGGCAGGCTAGACTGCCCCCCCTACCCCCAGGGCAGCTGATGGACAAGTCACAGGCCGGCCCCAGCTGGCTGCTTCTCAACAAGAGAGGAAATGCACCCTGAACACAAAGGTTGCACGGGCTTGCAGTGGGCTCCTCTCATCTGCCACCTGGCTCCTAGCGGAAGCATGGCCTCAGTTTTAACTCTGCATTTGGAATGAGAAATCACAAGCCCCTCCCCTGCTAACGTCACTGTTTCCCCGACTTTCCTGGCTCTCTTACTCTGATTTGCTTTAGTGTGCCACACTAAAGGGAGTGCTTAGTGTGGGAGTGCTCTCCATCAAACCCCAAGGCCCTTCCTCACAGCCCGGGTCTTGCTTCACTCTTCCTGGCGTCAGCCTGGAAATGGGAAAAAGCAGCTTGTCGCCGAGGGGAGGGCTTGGATCCGAAGGTGAAACGTAAGCACAGGTTAGGCCACTTCTCTCCTCTATCTGCACAGAAAACCTGAGAGGTTCTACTATCAGCATTCCATCTGCTGTTAAGACTCAGGCTTAGGAAGAGTGGGCTGCCCCTTGGACAGTTCCAGAACAGCTAAAACTGGCAGGGGAAGGGAGGGGGCCGTGTGTTCTGAGGAAGAACTGATGATGTCAGGGTTGACCTAGGAAGTGGGGGGTTGGGGGGGAGGCAGAGCGAGCAACTGAGCATTCAGGCAGTGGAGGGTGATGCGAAACAAGGAGTCATTCGGGAAAATATCGTATTATAAACACATAGTACTATGTACACACTCATATACACCCCGAAGAGAAGCCTCGCAAAGGATCCCACTTCCTCTCTGAAGTAGGCTCCCCTGTGATAAAAGCACTCCTCTAGTGGGAATTAACCACATGGAAATAATTTAACAATTTAATCTGTGTTCTCTATAGAAGTCTATGGTAAAGGCTACGTGGAGGCGGACGCGGGTTGCAGGGCTGGGTGCTAATGCATTCTTCAAAAATAGGCCAGGACAGCTTGTTTTCTCTATTCACATTTAAAGTGACGACACAGTGATGGACAGCAGGGTGGACAGCCCGGCGTGGGGCTTGTGGCACTGAGCGCAGCAGCCTCAGACTGGCTTTCGCACCTGTGACATTTTTGGATACTGGTCGGCCCCAGCTTGTAAAGACTGGAGATCTCTGCGAGATGCTCACCCACATATAAACGCTGTCTAAAGCTTGACTTTCATTCCCATCTACTTGATAGTCTTTTTTTTTAAAAAAGTGAAAGAAGCGGAAAAAAAACTCTTACAAAATATATAGTTCAGTATATGAGAGCAAGGAGTGTCTCCACAGGGTGGCCGGTGGTGGCTTTGCCCAGTGTCCTGTCTTCCAGTGTGATGGCCTTTCCTCTGCCACACTGACACGAGGGCACTCTGGCAAGGCTGCCCCCCCTTTTTGTAACTAAATAGTGTCACAGTTTGGTGTTCTTGACCACTGTGCTGAAGGTGGCCGGCATCTGATACACCCTGTGGCCCACGATGGCAAATCAGTCATCAAGTTAGAAACAGACGGGATGGACCTTGTAGAGTCTATGGGCTCCCAGGAGCCAGCTGCTCACAGGGTGCCTTTGTGGGTCTGGCGTTCCGAAAATCAGCCCTTTCTGCCATGGCCCCTCGCTTTTGGATGGCAGGAGTGGCCTGGGCTCTACATCTGGCCTTTGGGATGAGGACTCCAATGCTCCGGGCCACACTCATCTGCTCTCTCCTTCCCTTCCCCCATCCCTTCCTGATTTTAATAAGCAAATTGTACCACCATCTTATTCTGATATGCACCTTTTAAAAAGCTGTTTATCACATTAATGGAAGTGTTTACTGCTGGGAGCACTTCCCATGTACAATGATCTGTAACCCTCTGATCTCAACTAGTTGCACATTATTAGTTCCCATCCAGCTCAATTTATAAATTAACAGAGGTGCCATTTGTCTGCACAAAAATCAATGCATATTTATGAACTTCTTTTATTCAAATAGATTTTCACACATCTTCTCTATGACAGAAACCTGGGTAACTTAGACCTTGTGGATCGGGAGTAACTGAGGCCTGACACATCCATTGTGGCCACAGGGGAAAAAAATAGCATTTTATGTATTTACTTAGTTTTGGAGCATACTTGAGAAGCTATTTTTTTTTTCAGCTGGATTCATGATTTCTTTTTGAATTTCCAAGTTATTCTTATTTATTTATTTATTTTTTTCCATTTTGTTTTTGCACCAAGGAAGGAGATTGCAGTCAAATAATACCCGGCAACTGGTTTCCTCTCTTTGGACTGAAAAATTAAACAGATACTAAATTATGACAGTGAATTTAGAAAGGAGGGCTCCAAGGGCTGGAGAGACATGTCTGGGATAATATGATGCTTCTAAACCCACTGCAATCACATCGTGGCAATCACCGGAGCGTGCCGTGTAACTACCTCCTCGGCTAATATGCCTTCTTCCCGGTGATGACTAATCACGTTCTATTAAACAGCGGTAATGCTGGAGGAACTCGACTATACAAGTGTAATGAAGCCAGTATTCTCCCTGGACAGATTAGCTACAAATGATTTGACACCTACCATCATAGGGGCTTCAGACCTGACAAACTGTGCTTGCTTCTGATTTATGCCGTCAAGCTCCCCAGAGAAGACGTGAAATCCAAGCCTCCTTTTGGTCGAGGTGAAATGTACTGATGTGCTTAACTGCCAGTTAGGGGAAGATGCCCCTTCTCCTTGCTACCCCTCCCCCTGTGCTCCAGGTCATTGGATCAGGGGTCCCCGGTCGGTCGTGTGCTATCCTCAAAGCCGGGAGGTTGTTGGTCCCTCCAGCGTTGCTTCCGGAGTGTGGGAAGAGAGTTCGGTTCTGTGGCCTCCAGCCTCCTCTTCTCCCCTTGACGGTGTCCAGGTTTGGAGGGTCGTGTGGAGTGTGTGAGTGGCAGGTGGGTGGAAGTGACCACCAGGAAGAGGGAGGGAACTGAGGGACTCACGTGCTGTGACTTCCGGAGCAGGCGGGTGCAGGGTCCCAGGTGCAGTGCTGGCTGACCTCAGATGACGCTGGGTGCTCTCCCACTACTGTTCCTGCTGTTGTTCTTTCTGGACAGGTTAGGGGTAGCCATGAGCACAAAGCGCTCATCGGGGCAGCCATACTGAAGCAGCACATCAATGCACTCCTGGCTGGAGGCCTGCCGGGCATAGGCCAGTGCCGTGTTCCCGTGGGCGTCTCGAGCCATGACGTCCACCCCGTACTGCAGAGGCGACAGAGAACAAATTAGTGTCCATGGGGATCCGTGGGCAGGCAGCTGAGGTCACACCCTCAACTCCTACGTGTGGACTGAGCTGACACGGGAGACACCCGAGACCGAGGAGCCGCAAACAGAATGCTCTCCTGTTGTTTAGAGCAGGCTCTGTGACTCTTCTGTTAGGGAGAGCACACCTCACACACAGGTCAGAGCGGGCTTCAACTCCGCTCTTGGCTTTACCTTTCCAGTTGTATACCCATGGGGAAGGGCAGAAGGATGGCTCAGAGGGCAAGGGTCCTTATCAAGACTGAGATCTGAGTTTGGTCCACAGAGCTCACATTGTTGAGAGAGAATCAACTTGTGCAAGCTGCCCTCTGCAGGACTGCTGTGACACATATGTATATGTATGTACCTGCATGTGCGCATGTGCGCGCACACACACACACACACACACACACACACACACACACACACACACGAGATAAATATAAATATTTTAAAAAGTAACATTTAAAAAAATCTCAGCGGTAGCTCAGTTTCACTGCAGAAAATATGTAAGAAACACATATGAGCACAAGAGAAAAAAATTAGTGCCAAGTTTGTTATTTCTGTGTGTTTCCCCTTCTGTTGTACCGGAGGCCCAGGGCTTGGCACATGCTAAGTGAGGACATGCCACTAAGCGACACCCCTAATGAGTTTTCTTTGACTCAAACATAGATAGAAAAACAAACAGTTTGCGCTTTTTTTCTTTGAGTGAACTAGACTTTGAGCATTTTCTTACATTATCGAGACTTACTCGAGAGTGTGGCTCCTAATGGCCTCGAACCATCAAACCCCATGATCTCGACCCTTGCCTGCTCAGGAGCTGCCACTGGCAGAGCTAGTGAAGGAGAAGAGGGCTATCTTTATGTAGTCTTTCTCAGTAGCCCAGGGAAGCCCAGGGTCACGTTGAAGCTTAGCCCTGCAGTACACAATACGGGGCTGAGCACTGCAGTCCTTGCCCGCTATTCACAAGGCTGTGGGTTCTATCCCCAGTCTGCAGAAATAAACTCCTGGGCTGCAGGGATGGCACAGTGGTTAAGAGATGCTGCTCTTGTAGAGGACCTGAGCTGAGATCCTGGCCCCCAGGCTGGGTGACTTTGCAATTGTCTGTAACTCAAGCTCCAGGGAATTTGGTACACATTTTTGGTCCTTATAGGTACCTGAGCACACCTACAAATAAAATAAAATAACTGCTGAAGTGATATTTTGCTGTCCCAGAGTTTGTGAATTTATCCTAGCACCCAGGCTGGATGGCTCATACCCATCTGCACCGCAGCTATAGGGAATCTGGCACCCATTCAGGCCCTCAGCGGGCACTGGCAGATGCCTACATACACATGAATAAAGAAGGGGAAATACATCTTTAAAAAGTTAAAAAAAAAAAAAAAAAAAAAAAAAAAAAAAAAAAAAAGAAAAACCAAAACCAACAACACATCACATACACAGCAAATGCACTCATACACTTTTATGTTTCTTGTTCATGGTAAGGGTAAGTTTACACAGGCTTGTGTAACTCTAAGTAGGTGTGTGTGTGGGGGGGATTTTGGACACTCAAGTAACATGGAACACTGAAATAGAGAGCTTCTGGGCAGTGTGAGAAAGAAATGTGTGCAGACTAGTTATACCCCTCAAAATACTATACTCAAGGCTTCAGCAGCACCTGGTACTCTGGACTGGGACTCCATCTGCTGGAGTGGAGAAGTCCTGTGTCCTGAAGGAATGAGACATGGGGATGCATGCTCACAGAATAGACCCCATGCTGCCACAGCAAGGTCCTATGTGCTATCGGAGAAGCAAAGCCTTGTGGGTAACGAGCCCTTCTGTTGTCTGTCTCTAGCTTCCAGAGCTGTGAGGAAACAGTATCTATTCTGTAGCTTTGTTACTGCGGCGGAGCAAACCAAACACAACCGTCATTTAATGACCAGTGAGGGTGAGGACGAATACTGCATTACCCCGAATTAGCACCCGCATCTAACCAAATTCTTCCAGTGTGTTCCAAAAAGTAGACTAAAAACATGAAGAAACTGGGGCGAGATGTCTCAGTCAGTGAACGGTTTCGCCTCCCAATTTCGAGGACTTGAGTTTGATCCGTTAGAACCACACTGAAAAGAAAAATTCTAGTATGGCGGTGCCAGCTTGTAATCCCAATTGCTGGGGAGGCTCAATGGCCAGCCTAGTCCACTTGGCCAGCTCCGGGCAATGAGATACATTGCCTCAACAACCTAACCTAAACAAAACAACCTAAAGTGGATAACGCATGAAAAAAAAACATTTGAGGTAGTCCTCTGACAAGTGCTGGGCATGCGCGCACGCATGCACGCACGCACGCACGCGCGCGCGCACACACACACAGAGAGAAATGCATTAGTTTTCAGCTGTGCTCGATCCCTGTCACCAGAATAGAGGCACAGAAGGGGCCCCAGGGTATGTATGAGTGGCAGATGTCCCTGAGCGATGTTTAGGAAGCTGCCTGGGGACAAAGCATTACAGCATCTCAGCTCAGCCCTCACTGGCAGGGCCTCTATGTACAACCACTTTACCCAATTTCAGTTTCTTACAAAGTTCAAATTCAAATTTCAAATTTAAATGAATAATTTTTTTTCCTGAGTAGAAAGTCATTAAAATAGTGCAAGAGAGGCTTGGAGACAAACTCGCATCTACCAGACCTCAGTGCCTAGGGCCAGTACTTTTGCGTTATGGTATGAATAGAAATTCAAAGGTTTGGCAAGGGGACTCGGAGAAGCCATTCACATTATTCACGCCCCTACCCTCACCCACAAGAAAATGACATTGGGAAACAAGTTCTGTCTTCTCTCTGCAGGATGCTTGACCTGGGAGGCCATCAGAAAGACACTTCTGAAACTAGCAAATGAGTGTCTGTTTCATTTCTGCTCAGTACCCAATACCCCCACCCCCATGCTGGATGCTGTTCATACCCTCATGCAGGTAAGTCCAGACAGAAACCTCAAACCCCATTAGGGCCAGCTCTTAGACACAGTGGCCTTCTCTGGGAAGGAGAAGCCAGTAGCATAAGGCATTCTGACCCCACAGTGGCTTCACCCTCCTCGGGGCATGTGCTGGGCACCCAAGTCACCTACCCAGATTAGCAGCTGAGCCAGGACCACGTTGCCCTTGCGGCAGGCCAGGTGCAGAGCTGTGCGGCCATCTCCTTCCCCACAGGTCTCATTCACCTCATCCCGGGACCCATGGGCCAGGAGCAGGATGACAGTCCGCAGGTCTTCCTCGGCGGTGGCACGCAGCAGTTGCTGTCCCAGGGAGAACTCTGTACACGGCAGCGGGACCAGGAAGAGTTTCTGTTCATACTTGGCCCGGATCCATCGTTCTTTTTCTTCCCTACAAAAGCCACCAGACAGACACACTCAGGACTGGACAGACAGACAGACACACTCAGGACTGGACATTAGAACTGAGACTGGAGACCCTGCTCTGGCAGCCACCATGGTTGTGAGGTACGGGAAAGGAACAAAAAAAAAAAAAAAAAAAAAAAAAAAAAAGTCTCCATTTGGGATTAGCCCCCTCGGGGAATGCGCTATTTGTGGTTCTGGAAGTGCTATCCTTGCCACCCGCAGCATCCACTGACTTCAGTGTCAGAACCTCTGGGGAGGATGCTGCAAGCCACTGCTGGGATCCTGAACCATGGCCTGGGGGCCTGCATCAGTGCAATGCAAACATGGGCTCCATAGTTGAAATGCTTGTGCTTTGTGTGTGCAAGGAAGGAGGGGGACCCTCTCAGCCCCAGCAAGATGTGCTTATATTGACCTAAAAGGAAGGCCCCAGGTTAGCTGCCCCTAAGCTCTCAGGCTGGCGAGTGACCAGAGACTAGAGGCAGGACGGCAGAGGCTTCATTTGAGGGGACTGGTATTCTCTGCTCTTAACTCACCCACACTCCTGGGGACGCATGTGAGTCTCCAAGGGTCCCCTGCCACTCCCAGCTGAAGGAAACCCTGAAGATTCACACAGGAATCTGTCATGTCTTTCGGGGCTTGTGAAAGGCTTAAGGAGAGGGGGTAGAATGTTGATTTCTGGGAAAAAAGTGTCCCAGCCTCAGGGAGAAAAAGTGGGGAGCTTCTAAGGGCAGAGCAAAGCTAGGGACAGAGGGCAGGGTAAAACCGGAAGGATGTGGGCTCTGCAGTGTGGCAAGCTCTGAGGATATGATGGACACAACTGTGTCTTGTCCACAACTCCCAGCACCCTGGAGTCTAGGAGATTCAGGGACATGGCTCCCAGCCCTAGGACCCATCACTTGGGGGACACTACAGAAATAAGGAGGAGAGGGCAGCGTGGAGAAGGAAGGGAGAAAGAAAACCTCCTAGACACTGTGTTTACACCTATCAAGACTGCAGGTTTGTTGGGCATGGTGGTGGAAGCCTTTAATTCCAGCACGCAGGAATCAAAGGCAGGTGGATCTGTGAGTTCAAGGCCACCCTGGTCAACATCCAATCCCAGGGCAGTCACAGGTACACAAGTGAGAGGCTCCCAGTGAGTTGCTTTTATGGGTGAGCTGCTCTGGGATAGAAAGGTTAGACACTCAAAAACAAAAACAAAACCCCAAAACAGAGGAAGGATGAGACTCTGAACTCCATAGTCCTCCTGACTCGGCTCATTACTAGGAAAAGGGGCAGGGTGTGTGTGTATGCGTGTGTGTGTGTGTGTGTGTGTGTGTGTGTGTGTGTGTGTGTATGTGTGTGTGTGTTTTAAAGAGGATCTGAGATTTCATGAGTAGCCCTCAGAATTTTCCCAGCAGCCCGTGGTGTGTTCCTGAGGCCCAAGCACGCTTTTTCATGAGGATGATGAAGAGAGTAAGCAAGCCCCACACATAGAGAGACTGCAATTATCTCAGATTCACTAAGACACTGACTCACAATGCCTTCTAAAACCCAGAGCCTCTCACTGCAATAATCAGAGCACACAGCTAGCAGCCGCGTGGAGGAATCAGGGCCTTCCCCAACCCTCCAAAAGAAAACTCATTACGTTTCTGCTTCCAGGGCCCAGAAGAAAGGGCTCGTTTACACCTCCGCACAGTGTTTACACTGCGCCTGGTGACCCTAGTGTCAGGTTAGCCCTAATCTGTTTTTAAATACTTAGGCAAACAGATTCTTCCAGGACTAAATCTGGATTAGTTTTGCTTCACTTCCTGGTACATGTGAGTGACCCCCAAGTGACCCCTGACTCTTCATTCAGAGATTCCCAGGACAAACACTTGGCTTCAGCAGAGATGAACTGGCTCCCAGAACTGCAGCAAAGCCCTCTAGCACACATCCTTACTTAGGCAGAAAGGTGGGGGACATCCAGGAAATGCAAGACCCAAACCCCAGCGGTCCTGCCTCTATTTTAGGAGCTTGTTTATAATATGTTACACGTTTGTTGATGTAGTTCATAAATCAGGAAGGAGAAAGAGCAAGACGTGAATTAAATGAGAAGGGCTAATGGTGTAGGAGACGTCCAGACCTCCAGTTTCCAATCTGCTAACTCTCATTTTTGGGTAGGCATTAAAATCAGACTGTCTTATTCTGCTCCAGTAGATTTTAAAAGTCATTGCCAGATCACCCAGGGGTAACGGGGGAACTTCACATCAGAACTCTGGTCTTAACTGCAATGATTAAAATTTCATTTTAATATTCAAGTACCCAGTCAAAGACTGAGCACAGATCCCTGCCTCCACCAAGGACAAGCCCTTAGACAAGCTCCTTGTGTGGCTTTTAGCATCAGATGGAAACAGCTCTTTACTGAATACTTCTAAAACACAGAACCCTGCAATGCTCACTGCTGGGTCCCCCGGCCTTCAAGCTCACCAGGAATCTAAGTGAGGCGGCACCAGGTCCGAGCCCCCCCCCCCCCGAAATCCATTTACTATAGAAATAGGGCCTGGCTCAGGGCAGTGGAGGTTTATGGGTGCAAATTCAGTTGCTCCCATCAACTCCCAAGTTCTCCCTGTCGTTCAGAATCTGTTTTCCGTGGCCTCTGCCTACCCTAACACGGGCTGGGTGAGCTTCCCCAGTGGCTGCAGGGAGGCTGACGGAACCCCACTGGTCCTGGACTGTGAGGCCCCATTCTCCCCTTCATAGAGATCTTAGGGTCTCAGCACTTGCTCCTCTCACCTTCCCGTCCTTGGACAAGTGTTTTGTCATCTGCGAAACGGGCCTGGTGACACTTACTGAAGTCAGGGCTGTCCAGACCTAAGATCGCATGTGTGGTCTACAAGCTGGCCACAGCCACCCTTCTGTAGCAGCAAACTGGAGAACACCTATCTCTAACCGTTACTCAGGCTCAGTCAGGGTCAGGCACGCAGCAAACACCAGTGTGCTGTCATGGGATGGGATGCAGAGATGCCTGTGGTGTGTTGGGGGCTTCTAATCTGTGGCTGCCTGTCACTGTGAGAGCCCCAGAACTCACCATGTGGAGTATGGGGAGGGGAGCAGCTCTTGTCCAGGGGCTTAGTGCGTCCCTGGATACCCAGGGCAAAGGGTCTTGGCTAGTTCAAATGGTTGTCAGTGTGGCTGGGGCTAAGTATGGGCACAGGGCCTGAGGGGCCTAAGTCTCCTTTTTGTCAGGGGCCAAACTGGTGGACTCCAAGTTCACAGGTTGAAGCTTTAGCCACCAGTGTGGCTTCATTGGGAGACAAGGTCTTTAGGGAGTAGATAATGTTAAATGGGGCCCTTGAGGTGGATCTCCAACCTACTACAGCTGGGGCCCATAAAAAGAAAATGTTACTAGCCACCCTACTTCTCCCTCAATTCACAAAAGGAGGGACATGCAAGCCAGGAAGGGAGTCCTCCCAAGTCAACACCCCTGCCCACCATGTACCTTGACCTTGACCATATATTTCCAGTCCCTGCATACAGTGTTTTACCATGGCGGCTTAGCCACTCTTCTCCCCAGCTCTCGTGAGAGAGGGTACTCTGATAATAGTTTCTGTTCCCTTCTGTCAACATCGCCACCCTTAGGAAACCAAGTGCCAAGGCACAGCAACTCCAATTGTTATTCTCAGGTCCCCTGGCCATGCGCTTCATTGTCCCCAAGGAAGGCCAGCTCAAGAGCAACGGAGCTGGCTGTAGATCACCTCGCTTCATTCCAATGCCCTGGAGGACCACTGCTCACAGCCTCTGTTAGCTAATGAGCTAAAAAATGAATTATTGGCACGGCTGCCATCAGCAGGGAGGAGGGGCCAGCTCCTCATCAGGTCTTGGTGCTGACACACCTTTAAATAAATCAACTGCAGAGAGGGAGGGAGGGGACAGCACTCTGTCAGAAGACACACACCAACCCCATCCCTAAAAAACACAAAGAACATACGTTTTCGGGAGATGTCCTCACCTCCCTGAAATGGAGCCTGTTGGGAGTGGCTCTGTTTCCCTCTGGTTTAGACCGTGAACTGCCTGGTGTTCAACCCACAGGCTAGCAGTGGGTAGGAGTGGGTGGCAGACTGGAAGTCCTGTCTCAGTGTCTGCTGGCCTCAGCCAAGGATGCTCTGACACTATAGCTTGATGGATGGACACAGCTACTCCTGGCCTTAAGGAATGGAGGCCTGGCTAAGTGCCCAGGTGCCAACACAGAAACAGCTGCCCAGTGTCCTGCCTAGTTTTATGACAACTCGACACAAGCTAGAATCATCAGAGAGGAGTCCTCATGAGAACATGTCTACATAAGGTGGGCTATAGGGTATTTTCTTAACCAGTGATTGACTTGGAGGAGGAGGGGCTCAGCACATTGTGGGTGGAGCCACCCCAGGGCTGGTGGTTCTGGGTTCTATAAGAAAGCAGGTTGAGCACACCATGTGAGCAAGCCAGTGAGTAGCACTCCTCCATGGCCTCTGCATCAACTCCAGCCTCCACGTTCTTGCCCTGTTTGAGTTCTTGCCATGGCTTCCTTGGACTGCAATATGGAAGTATAACTCAAATAAGCCCTTTCCTCCCCAAGCTGCTTTGGTCTTGATGTACTTCATGGCAATAGTAACCCTGACTAATACACCTGGGTCATATCTCACTTGAGGTCTGTCAGTCAGAACTGGCAGTTGGTAACACAGAATGGCAAGGAATTCCCCAAGCTAAGAGGGGTGGGGTGGGGGAGATAATACAACTGACTTCATGGACCACAGCCTCCTGGAAGTAGAAATCGGAGGTCATGTAGATATAGGTCCACTGACCCTGTGGCACCAGAATTGAGGTGAACTCCATCAGACGTCAGGATGGGGACTGAGATAGAATCACTGCCACGTGTAGGGGAAGTCACATCACTCCACCACTTCTGTGGAGACCCTGCAGGGACCCCTCACTGCGTGCAGGCTGCACTGCGCTCCATGCTGGACCTCAGGGTCTAGTCTTCGCTTGAGTTCC